GTCTTGGGCTAATCGGGAGCTAGAATCCAAGCTCGGTATCTCAGAAATCTCAAAAACCAAGAGAGCTCCCCCAGCATTGCTGCTTATCAAAGCAGAACGAGAGCAACGGAGACCGAGTTTGAGGTACAATGAACCACAAAGACTTGCAGGAAAGAGTAGTTTTAATTGTGCAAGATTTGGATGGAGTGTTTTAGATTATGTTGGGTTCTATAGGTAGGATTTAGAGACTACCTAACTGACTTGCAGCTGATGGATCTGGTGAGGCAGTGAGACACAGGTGAATGATGCTGCTGTATTTGAAGGAGACAGATTAGGAACTCACATAAGCTAGTCCCATGTTCATGAGCATGCATTTGGATACTTGAATATTGTTAGATGATAATGAAATCATTGAAATTGTCAGAGCAGGAAGCCAAAGGAGAAGTTAAAGAATTCTGCACTTCCAGTTCGTATGGAAATACTAATTCTATTGATGAAGGAAAAGGCTAGGCATGGTGTTATGATTAAGACCTTACAGCTGGAGAAACGTAGAGTGGTGTATTAATAATATAATGGACATGTTTAGCATAAGATGCAGGCAATGTAGCTGAATTAGCTGCACATCCCAGGCTGCATCTGGCTCTCCTTTGAGCCTGTTACCTTACAAGGCTAAACAGAAGAATAAACCGTTCATGCTTCTTGGAGTGCTCAGACATGAGCCAGTTTGTTTTTCCTGCAGCCTTAGTCCCTGGAGACTGCCAGAATTTTCAAAAGCCTCTTTGAGAAAGGCAGTTATTTAAAGTAGCAGTTAAGATCATCTTACCTGGTTGATGATGGCTGTTTCCCATGGCTAACAGCCATACCTGCCTCCCAAATAAGCCACAACAGAATGGTTTTTCTTTTCTTTTCTTTTTTTTTTGGCCAGCTTTCTTGCAAGAATACATACAGCAGTTCATAGAAAAAATAACACACATACATTCCATAACTTCTTTATTTGTTTTCTTCTCTGCCTTTTTAATGAAAACTAGCAGAAGAGTGATTATTGGAGTAGGTTTAGTGAGTAACTGTTGTGAAAATGATGTCCAAGAAATACTCACTGTTAGATTTATTAGAAAGGGAAAGAACAAGGGGAAGGGAAAATTGGAGGAAGATATATGGGAATAATGTGAGGACTGGTTCTGAAAGAACTTAATGTTGAAGTGGAAGGGCATGATGCATCCACCAATACGTGTAGTATTTTGTAAATGGTAAGATAAGCCACATGACTGGTTTCGACATTCAATCATTCCTTCTCTCATACATTGATCATAGAATGTCCCTCTGGGCCAAGGGTTGAGTTGGGAAATTATACTTGAAGTGCTACCTGAATAAAAGTGATATTAAATAATTGCATAAAAATGATTTTAAACTTATTTTGAAGTTATTCAGAAATCCATGCAGAATTATTGGGTCGTCTAAATGGAGTATTTTAAGAGTAGTCTTTTACTATTGTGTTTTAATTTCATTATACACAGTCAATTTACTTTGGCAAAAGGCACCAGGAAATGGACTTTATTTAATGAAGGTATTAAAAGGCTTTAATCTCATTGTGGGCCCTCCCACCCCCTTCTCTCTATGAATATGTGCTTATAGTTTCTTCCTCTCAGGTAGCTTAGGCGTTTCTATTACTATCTTGATTACAATCCTGATTAACTTAATGCATCCTTTTCTCTGAGTGATTCTAGAGACAAATTCCAGATTTGATTGATTTACCACAAATAACCTATTCTTATTATGTTGATATGAATTATTTTGCATCCCAGTGTGTTAAATGTTATACTTTCTCCTAGCATTAGCGGATAAGCCCTCCTGGGAGCATGATATTACTGGTAGTATAGAACCATGCAGAAACAGCTTCTGTAAATACACCACTTCCACCTTGCCCTGGGAAAACCTCTTCCTTCTTTATGCAAATTCCTGGCCGCAGACCATGTTCATACGCATAAGAGAGAAGACTCATATATAGTCATACTCTTGATCTGCTTGGCTTTAACCCACAGATTATATTGGGTCCTGCTGAGAATTATAGCTCCCATCCGATACTATTATTGGAAAAAGATAATTCCACTGGCACCACTATTTTTTTGTTGTTCTTGTTATTTTGGTGTTATTATTTTTTGCTTTTCCCACTGACTTGGGAAAACCCCACCTACAGAAGGTGCTGTGGCTAGGCCTTTGACGAAGCTCCCACTGCATGCCGGAAAACTCAGAAGAAGCCGGGAAGACACAGTCAAGCCTGCAGACTCAGAGACAGATGAGGTTTTCACTGCAGTCTTGGCAAAGAGTTACGAAACGTTAACATCTTTCTTGAGCACTTGAAGCTTATCTTCCCTTGAATATTGTGGACCCTGGGCTTACAGGCTTTGCAGTTCACCTAGCCACTTGCCATATCCATTTTATCCTTGTCAACATGGCTTTCAAGTTTTTGAAGTTACAAATGAAAGGTGGAACGCCATTGATTGACTAATTAGCTGGGGACTGCTTATAAACCCTGGAATATGACATCTTGATTTAGATACAGTTATTGCACAGTATAAATAAAATGATTTGTTTTACAATTTTACCAATATTTCATTTTCACCTGTTAGGGTTCTGGAGTGAGTTACCTCGGTTCTTGCTTCACATCGCTGAAACAATTCATGCGGCAGAAGCACTTTTGTAATCCAAATGCCTTTTATGAGGGAAAGGGAAATTTCAGGTATTACCATCTTAAAAGGTACACCCTATTTCTGGAAAGCGTGCAAGGCAAGCGGAAACCATGAGAGTTCGCGACTGAACGGGAACAACCACGTGGAGAGAATACCAAAAACAGGAGCACAAAACCATCATGCAGAACTAAGCAGGAACTCCCCAGGGGCCAAGCCAACATTGACCCACCTCCTGCACTACTGGAGGTGGCATGGTGAGGTTACTAGCCCACCTTATTTGCTGAGTTTAGGTGCACCTGTGTAATGCCATGTGCCTAGGTTCTGGCCAGGCTTAGCTTCACCTGTGCCTAGGTGGCTTTAATCTGTGTATGCTCAGCTTGGATTTTCTCATTGGTATCTTCCAGTTGGCTGATTTCCCTGCAGTCCCCTTTATTGTGGCCCTAGGCAGGCATTTGGGGAGACAAACACCCACCCACCCTTGCATATCCCTATTCTGGCTATTGTCATAACCATTCTAAATCTTGTCTTTCAAAATCTTTTCTTTCTTTTTCTTTAAAGGTGTGTCTTTCTTTTCTCATACAATCCGTATGAGTTTATCTACTAGTAAACTGATTTACCGCAGCAGAGAAATTCTTTGACTATCCCACAGGGACAAAGCACATGACAATTTAATAAGTACTCTCCTGGGATCCTTGGTGGTATAGTTGTTACAAGATGGACTGCAATTTGGGAGGCCGTGAGTTCAAAGCCACCAGCTGCTCTGTGGGAGAAGGACAGGGCTTTCTAGTCCTGTAAGCAATTAGAGTCTCAGAAATTCAAAAGGGAGTTAGACCCTGTTTTATGGGTCATTATGGCGGTGAGATTGTTTTTTTGCGTAGAACTTGTATTCTCTAGGTTTTCATAAAGAATTAGTAAGCATATTTTTGGGGGAAAATGTTTTTTTTTAACCATTTGTGTAAACAAAAGGGTGCAGATAATATATATGCGTGTATATATATTTATGTCTATGGAATATTTTGGGGAAGAATATAAAAGAAATTGGAAATATTTTTTGTCTCTCGGCGATTGGAGTGTGTTTTCCCCCCAAGACCAGAATTAGAATGTTAACTACAGTTCAGTCTGCAGCACTCTACTACATTCTGTACCATGTGATTGTTTCAGAGATATGGATACATATTTCTGCTTTTGAAAGTGATACAAATATATCCCTTGGGTGGCCCAACACCACTTTCTCCTCCCAGAATCAGTAGCCAGGGAATTGTCTACTGGTTGACTCACAGTGTTAGACCCTCACAGCCCTCTTCATTTGCTTAGTTCAAGAAGAGACAAATGATAGCTACCTTGACAGCCACTACCTCCAGGCGCCCTATGAATGACAAGCTTTCTGATATGCCAATTGCCTTCCTTGCATGTGAACATTTTGACGAGCAAGTGCCCTTAGAAACGTGGGGTCGTAGCAGTGAAGTGTTCTTTAAACAACAATCATTAATACCATTTCTCATGTGTGGCCTTGAGCGAGGGTTTCCTGGAGAGTGAGATGGATTGAGGGATCAGGGATCAGCTGGTGAGGCTGGCACTAGGAAAAGACAAGCCCAGCATTCACATTCCAGACCACTCCATACCAGCATTGTCTCCAATCCATCCTTCACCAGGAGTCCAGAGGAGGGTGGGGGTGAAGGAAGGCGAGAAAATAAACATTTTAATGCTGTTTAAGGAAGTACAGAGGGGAGGAAAGAAAGAACAAGATGTGAGGCTTAGGAGCCAGTTGCCAAGAATGTTTAGTTTGGAAATCAACTTTGGCTTAATTTTGCACTTCGCTGCCAAGTTCTTTCTGCTTTATATTCCTCATCCCATCTCTCAGCGCCCCACCCCTTCCCTAGCCTTCGACATTCCTCTGCCTCAGAGGGCCAAGGCCAAGGTTTGCATCTTCTCCTCCCTTTCCCTTTCCCACCCCCCTGTCCTGCCTTCCTCTCTCTCCCCTTTCCCTCTTTCTCCTGTCCTTCTTTCGCAGGCTTCAGTCCCTCTCCTTCTCCAGGCTCGCGGAACAGTACCTCTAATCTCCATTCCCTCTTAAGGAAATCAGCCAGGCCTCTGATGGAGCGGTTGTCCTGACAACCCCCAGGCGCATCAGCCTTTCATTGAGGCTGGCTGCTGTTGAAGGGGGCAGTTGTGCAAAGCCAGGGGCCACTCGCAGGGGAGGGCGGAGGGCGATGACGCGGAGGGGCTGTTGAAAAACAGTTGGGGGGAGGGAGGGGATGAGCAGAGAGAGGAGGGACTGGAGAGAAACAGAAAAGGGAGGGGGGGAGAGAGACTCCGGGTGGCTGCTGCTGCCGGGTGGCTGTTTCTTTACGCTCACTGGAAGGCTCAGGGCCGGCTCCGTGCCTGGGAAAGTGGGTTACAGCGCGCAGGAGCTCAGCCCAGACTCTGAGCATCCCTTTCCTGGCGAAGGAACAGCCCGGACACAGACTGAGCGGAGGGGAACCTCTTCGCTTCGGGGCCCTGTCTCTTTTCCTCCAGGGTTGCCTGGCCTTTTGAACGTCGTGCTCCTTGGACTTTCTTGCCTTCCGCCGGGGTGTGCAGAGGAAGGGTTCTGTGAAGAGTTCGGAGGGAAGGAGCCGGGGCAGCGGCCGGAGAGAGGCCGAGTGGGAAGGCGCCCCGACCGGCAGCGCCTGCTGCGCCCGGGCCGAGGAGCTGAGCCCGCGGTGGTCCAGCGTCCAGCGTCCGGCGGCCCGCAGACCCCCGGAGCGCCCCGCCGGCCCCGCGCCGCCACCATGGTGGGCAGAGGCCAGCCGGATCGGAAACAGTTGCCGCTGGTCCTACTGAGATTGCTCTGTCTTCTTCCCACAGGACTGCCGGTGCGCAGCGTGGATTTTAACCGCGGCACGGACAACATCACCGTGAGGCAGGGGGACACGGCCATCCTCAGGTAGGGCTGCCCGCAACTTTTCTACGGCTGCGCGCCTGCCTGTGTGTGTGTGTGTGTGTGTGTGTGTGTGATCTTCTGGAATTGCAGGCTCCATGGTGTGTTTGTGTGTGATCTTTTGGAATTGCAGGCTCCATGGTGTGTGTGTGTGTGTGGTGGACGAATTGGCCAGCCAAGTTCAAAGGAATGTCAGGGGCTGTCCAGGACCAGCGTGCTGGGTACTGGTGAATGGTCCTTCGCTTCTCTTCCCACGCCAGCCCAACTTCATCTAAGGGAGTAGGGGCATGGGGGGTGGGAGAGGGGGGGCTGTCGCCTGGCTTTTGTAACTGCTGATGTCTGGTCCTCCGGAGTGTTGTCGGTGCTCCCTAATTTGGAAAGAAGAGTTGTTGGATGATTGCTCTCAGAAACCGGTACACTGTACGGCATGCTCCCTGCTCCTCTTCGGATACAAGTTGTGTGTGTGTGTGTGTGTGTGTGTGTGTGTGTGTGTGCGCGCGCGCGCACATGTAGGCTCTGGTTCTTCCCTGGCATACATTCAGACCGGCCACTGTCACTGGAGATCTTGTAATTGACATGGAGGGTAATCAACCAATCAATCTTAGAACTTTGGTTGGTAACTGAGCCTTTACTGGAATGCGCATCGAAATCAACATAAGAATGAAGAAGGAAAGAGAGAAAAAACAACAAAACCCACATCCGGAACTTGCTAGATTGCTGGTACTTAAGAAGAGAAGTGTTAAAGCAGGAGGTTGGGAAAGAATTGACCTGGCATAAAATTGATATTTCTAATTGATTATTGACCTGGAAGTCTTATCTCTGTGTAGCTCTGCCAAACTCTGAGATAGAATTTGGGACTGAAATTTGGAAAGGAAGTGCCAGGAGTCCTTGGGAGTGTGACCCCTATAAGGGACCGTGAAATAGAGAGACTCCAGTGGAACTGAGTCATAATTCTATTTCTAAAAATTCCCAGTGTTTCTCGGTCTCTCTTCTCCCACTCCACACACTACAAATACCCCTTGTCTTGTTTTCTAGTTTTTCTTGAATTTCTGTCAGATGCTGGGGGTGTAAAGGGCGTGGGGAGGAAGCAGGGGGGAGGCATGAAAACACTGTCCTTGGGGTTTCTTTAAAATCTCATTTCAACAGTAGAAAATGGCTGGGTGTTGGTGGGTCTATCTGGCTAATATTGCTTGTTGTGGCAATAAAGAACAGTATACTATAGAAGATAAACCTCTCCTCTATGTGCAAGGAGCTGATAATGCATAAACCCTAGGGCATCAGGGAGCAGTTTTGTAGCAGAGCTGCCGACAGCAGCAAAGTTTTCTTTCTATTTCTCAGAAATAAATTTGGTTGGCTGTCACAGAGTGTCCTGCTTTGGGATCTCTAGCCTTGTTAAGGAAGAATGTGCTTGCGTGTGTGTGTGTGTGTGTGTGTGTGTGTGTGTGTGTGTGTGTGTGTGTGTGTGTGTGTGTGTACTGTGTGCAATTGTGTGCGTGTTGCCCAAAATGGTAATAGAAATAGGAAAATGTTGAGGTGCGAGCCTTCCTTCCTGCATTTCCTGAGTGTCGGATGATTAGGAGCCCCAAAGATCCTATCCTCCAAAGGTTTTCTATTCCAGCTCTCTAGCCTTATAATCTTGCCTGCCTGATTTATCCACAGGGAGTAATAAGATTTATAGAGTAATTTATCTGTTTGCAAAGGGATTTGGATAGGACGTGGGAAGTGTTTTGCAAACACCCAGGGCTTCTCAACTGCTAGCACACATGTCCTCTGCAGTCCTTAACTCTTTGCTGGTGAAGCGCCCTATGTAAATCTCTGCTATCCAATAGGCATTTTAAAATCAATTATAAGCTCAAATGTAGGCAAAGTAAATAAGCTGGATCTACAGTTCATTTTTTTAATGGTCATAACTTTAAAACTTATTTATAAGTTATCATTACCTTTTACTTACGTTATAATTATCATAAAGGTAGATGAGCATCCTAATTGCTGGTTTGGAAGAAACAAAGATTCTTAATATTTTCATATAGTGTGTGCATTAAAGTTTGTTGGTGAGAAGCATTCTCAATCCTTAAATATCTAACAAGGCTCACATGTGATTCTGGGTGCCTGGTTTAAAATCATTACACTTTAGTAGAACATTACAGTGTGGTGATGGGGATAGTGCGAAAAGAGACTAAATATAATACCAGCTATCCCCTGGGAAAAAGAAGATAGTCAAATAGAGCATGCAAAGAAGTCACCTGTGAGAATCTGGGTAGTTTGCAAATTGCTTTGCCAGCCCTCACCTAACATGCCCTCTTTTGATTTCTTTTGCTTGGACTGGCCTTGTTTCTGAGTTGGTGAAGTTCTATCAGAAGTAACTATGGAGAGAGGCCCCTTTGTTTGCTTCGCTGACCTTCTTCTCAATCTCTTTAAATGAATCCAGTAAGCTTTGTGGGTCCGTTTCCTGGGGAAGAATGGTGTTCTTGCTTTCTGTTTACAAGTCTAGCCTGGGAAAGGCTTGCTTCCACTTTATTTGTGACATTTTACTGGGAGCATGGGCTTCCAGGGGAGGAGAGGAAGGAGACCTAGATTCATTGGAAGCCACAGTAGATGTTTGGCAGTGAGAGAGTGGAGATGGCCAGAGGGAGAAATCCTCTCACAATGAGTCAAGGTCTTGAATAATCTGAAACAGCAAGAGGAGACAAAGGAGATTTTTCATTCTGGTGGTCCAGTGACGGCAGTTTGGCTGATTGTCCCCCAACATGTACCTTCACTGCTTCATGTCCATTGCAAAAGTTCAGTGTAGTCTTGTATAATCATCATCTTCGGTGTCAATGCACCCCTGGATAGGACAGTGTGCATGGGTCATCAAGACTCTCTTTATAAGTACTCTTTTTGGGGAAACAGAATGATGGTGACAAGCCTGGAGAAAAATGAGAGAGACTCTCATTTATATCTACCTAGGCTGGTTGTTTCCCAGAGAAAAGTCTAGCTCCCTTTTAGGAATTTTATAAAGAGCTCAAGAAAGACAACAACTTATTTTTCCAAGGACATATAATCAGAGATTTGTCCCCAGACCAGAAGCTGTGGTAGCCTGAGAGCCTTTCCTATACCTACTGGTATAGAATCTGCCTTTTCGCCAGATGTTTAGGTGACAGGCATGCACATGAGCGTGAGAATCATCAGTCCTCAGGACTTGGTTCATAAGGAGGCTATAGGATTTCTTTTCTTTTCTTTTTTTTCTGAACTGGAATCCAGCTTCATCCTGGCTACCACACAGAAGCCCGGGAGTTCCTCTGCTACGCACAGTGGTTCTCCCTACACTGCTCGGCAAACATGCTCAATAGTGGTTGACGTGGGTTTGCGCTATGTAGCTCTTTTGAAAAATCAAAGGAAAAGTAGGACTATGCCATGTTTCTGCTCAGCTTTTTAAATTTTATTTCACCAAATCCACTGATCATATTTTCAATATTAGCAGCCAAAGTGTTTATTAAATACTTGAACCCCGTGTGGTTGGTATGTGCCACCGAGTTGCTTAGGACTGGTCGTGATCCTACACACAACAGAAGGAAGCGATGTCTGGTCCCGCGATGTCTGCTCCTGCTCATCCTCACAAGTATTGTTCTCTACGAGTCCATGATTGCAGTGTTGCATCAAGCTATCTTCTTGAAAGTCTTCCTCTCTCTTCCTGACCTTACCAAGCATGATATAAAACACGATATACTTATATTCCTTACCTTACCAAGCATGATATACTTTGTGCAGAGACTGGTTTCTCCTGGTTACATGTCCAAAGTTGCTGTGTTCCATCTTAAAGAGCATTTTGGCCACACTTCCAAGACAGACTTGTTCATTCTTCTGACAGTCCATGGTACTTCCAATATTGTTCACCAACACCATAATGCAGATGTTTAATTGTTCTCTGGTCTTCTTCATTCATTTCCCAGCCTTTGTATGCAAATGAAATGATTACAAATACTATGGCTTGAGTCAAGTGCACCTTAAAGAGGCATGTCCTTAAAGAGGCATCCCTGCTTTACAGAGGTTTTGTACAGCAGATTTAGCTAATGTAACATGCCACCTTATTTCTTGACTGTGGCTTCCATGAGCATTGATCGTGGATCCAAGCAAAAATATATTCTTGGCAACTTCCACCTTTTCTCCATTCATGATGCTCTCCATTGGCCCATTGGTGAGGATTTGGGTTTTCTTTACATTCAGTTGTCATCTATACTGAAGACTGAAGTGCTTGAACTTCATCAGCAAAGAGCCATGCTAGTTTACAATATATTATAATGATAGATGACCTTTTCATTAGATACCTTTGGGGAGGTTCCATATGCATGTACATCAAGACACTTTGTAAAGTACATATATGATAAAATGTAGGGACTTCATACTATTGTGATTTTAAATAAGCTAAAGTTAAGGTTTTACAATTCAGACTGTCTTTGATGTTTGCAGATGTTTTAATACTTTTTATGATGACACCATTTTTGTCATTTAATATCTAATAAGTGATAGGCATAAGGAAGCAAAATATATTAGTAACTGTGATTTATGAATAAATACAGTGTTAGTTTAGTTAGGTTTGGTGTCCCCCCAAACTCTGCATCTTTAATTCCCTACAAGAGTGGAGGTGGCAGGGGGTGGGGGTTGAGTAAAAAGGACCCAAAGCATAGATGTGATTATTTGGCAGTAAAGATATTATGCAAATATTAAGGAAACAAATGTTTTATCTTCGTAAGGCATCTGGAACGCCTACGCTGTGTCAAAATAGATCAACACTCCTGACACAATTTGTCACTTTCTCCCACTTAAAATTCACTATTTGAAAACAAAGTTTCTGTAAGCATAGGCCTACAAGGTTAGTTTGGGAAAATTGTGAAGTTTATTTTGTTTTGTTTTTCTGTAGCTAAACCACTAAAGGTAATCAAAGTGCATTCATCATTACTGATGCTTTTCTTAAGGGTAGTTAATGTTATAGGAGGTTAATGTTATAGGAGGCATAATGACCTTTT